CGGAACTCAAACGTGCTGAAAAGAAAAAAACAAACAACCCCATTATAAAACGGGCAAAAGATATGAACAGACACTTCACAAAGGAAGATATCCGAGCAGCCAACAGACACATGAAGAAATGTTCAACCTCACTAAACATCAGGGAGATGCAAATCTCACTAAACATCACGGAGATACCACCTAACTCCAGTCAGAATGGCAATTATCAACAACTCAAAAAATAACAGCTGCTGGAGAGGGTGTGGCGAAAAGGGAACACTTCTACACTGTTGGTGGGCATGTAAACTAGTGCAACCTCTGTGGAAAGCAGTGTGGCGATTCCTAAAAGCTCTAAATATCAACCTCCCATATGACCCTGCAATCCCCCTACTGGGAATATACCCTGAAGAACTCAAATCACTGTATAAAAAAGATACCTGCACACGTATATTTATCACAGCATTGTTCACAATAGCAAGAACCTGGAAGCAACCATGTTGCTCATCAAAAGAGGACTGGATTAAAAAATGTGGTACATGTACACGATAGAATACTATGCAGCCATAAAAAAGAACAAAATCATGAATTTCGCAGCAACCTGGATGGAACTAGAGTCTATAATACTGAGTGACCTCTCACAGAAACAAAGATCCGAGTATCACATGTTCTCACTCATATAATGGACCTTGAACATCCAATATAATACTATAAGAAAATGACTGACAGCACTGGGAAACTATGGGGGGAGGAGGGAGATGGGATTAATAGTAGCAAATATCTGTCTGGGGACGGAGAAACACCTCTTATCAACAGGGTGCCTGAATGAAACGTAATTGTATACCTAACCCTTAACTGTACCCCACAACATCATAATAAAAAATATTGATAAAAAAAGAAATTATTAAGAAAAATTAAATAAGATAGAAATGAATAAGACTAGAAATAATCAGTGTAAAAATAGCAAGGCTTCCTGGTTTGATTCACAGTCAATGCAATCACAAAGAAAACCCCTATAATACATGTGGAAAATAACAATCAATTCTAAAATTTCAATGGAAATACAAACCACCAAGAATAGCAAGACAAGCTCAAGTAGAAAAACAGTAGACAGATTTATATTGTTGGGCATGAGACTTATTTTCAAGTTATGGTAATGAAGACCATACTGTACTCATGCAAGGATAACAAAGGGGGCAACATTACCAACAGGGAGAGTGGAAACAGACACATACATGGGCAGACATTTGACTCATGCTGAGAGGCAAAGGTGCAGGGCCAACTGCACATCTCTGTGAAAAAAAACCCTGAAACTTAACTACTACTCATACCATACACATGTCAATCCCATGTAGAATCAAAATTTACATGTCAAAGGAAAACAGTGCAGCTCCTGGACGATAATTAAAGAGAGTATATTCAAGATTTTGAAGAAGGGAAAGATTTCTTAAACAAGGCACAAAAACATCAAAAGGAAAAGACTGATAAATGAGACTACATTAGAAGGGAAACTTCTGTGTTCTGAAAGACACCATTAGGAGAGGGAAAGGGCAAAGTACATAGTGGAAGAGATTTACAGATGTGCAACTGGCAAATGGCTTGATTCTATAATATAAAAGGAACAATTCCTATTTAAGAAAAAGATAGACAACTCATTGGAAAAATGGGGAAGAGAGCTGAACAAGCACTTCACCAAAAGGGGTGAATAAGCATATAAAAATAAGCTGTATCTCACTGGTAATATAGTAGAGGCCAATAAGCATATAAAAATAAGTTGTATCTCACTGTTAATATAGTAAGAGGAAGTACTGCTACACAGCTGATATTAAAGGGACTGACAATAGCAAGTGTTGGTGAGCACGTGGAGCAACAGGAACTCTCATATGTGGCTGGTGGAAGCATAAATTGGTACACTACTTGGAAAATTTTTAGGCATCATGTATGAATATTGAAGTTATGCATGCCCTAACATCAGCAACTCCACAATTGCCCTCATGCATCAAGAAACATGTACAAGAATGTATGTACACAGCAATGTTATTTGTAATAGCTCTGGTTAGGAAACAGCCCAAATATCTACCAACTTAAGAACGAATGACTAGCCAGGCTCAGTGGCTCAGCCTGTAATCCTGCGCCTTGGGAGGCTGAGGTGAGTGGATTGGCTGAGCCCGCGGGTTCAAGACCCACCTGGGCAACTTGGTGAGACCTCATCTCTCAATAAATCAAAAAAATTAGCCAGGCATGATAGCGTGCGCCTGTAGTTCCAGCTACTTGGAAGGCTGAGGTGGAAGGATTGTCAGAGCCCAGCAGGTCAAGGCTGCGGTGGCCAGGAGCAGCCACTGCACTCCAGTCTGGGTGACAGAGTGAAACTCCAACTCAAAAAAAAAAAAAAAAAGAACAAATGACTACATATTTACAAGTGAGACTCCACAAAGCAATAGAAATAATGAACTCAGTCAGTCGGGCATGGTTGCTCATGCCTATAACCCCAGCACTTTGTGAGGCTGAGGTGGGAGAATCACTTGAGCCCAGGATTTCAAGATTAGCATGGGCAATGTAGAGAGACCTCAACTCTACAAAAAATGAAAAAATTATGTGGGTGTGGTGGTATACACCTGTAGTCCTCGCTACTCAGGAGACTGAGGCAGAAAGATTGCCTGAGCACAAAAGGACAAAGCTGTAGTGAGCCATCATCATGCCACTGCACGCCAGCATGGATGACAGAATGTGTTGCTGATTTGATAAGTAAATTAGTAAGTAATTAAGTAAGTAAATAAATAAATAAGAAAAAAAGAGAAAAGAATGAACTCTTCTAAAGTCAAAATGGGAATGAATTTCACAAGCTTAATGTTGAGTAAAAGAAGCAAAACATAAAAACCTACATATTGAGGATTCCATTTACACACATTTCAAAAGCAGGTACAATTAATCTTCTGTATAAGAGTTAGGAGAGAGTTGCCTTTGGGAAGGAATGGGAGAAGTGTCAAGACTTTCCTTCCCACTCATGGGCACTAGAAAGGTAAATTGCTCTATTTCCTTACATGGAATCCTATTACCTGAGGAAAATGTACATCTTGACTTATGTTCAGTATTACCATGGAACAGACAAGTTCAATGGAGCACTGAAGTCCTGGTCAGAAACTTGAAGAGTAGCCTATAAATGTGAAAGTCCATTCACTCTGGTAACTGGCTCCTGAGTATGTCACTTAAAACAGTAAGCTGCCCATAGAAAGGATATGAATACACACTGAGAAAAGGGTTCTTTTAAGTCAAAGTCTTGCAAGAATGCTCAGCGAAGACAGCCCCACAGTGGACCCAGCATCCTATGGGGGACACTCCAGGGCTCAGATGCACGTGTCACACTGAGCACTGGCCTCACACAGGTGAGCCCATGGAGACTCAGCCCACTGACAGAGCAGTCAGCAGAGGTGGCACTGTGACCTTTTCCCCAGTAGATAACATCCTCTAATTTTCCAAAGAGGGAAATAGTAAACAGAATGATCTCCTGACTAGTATCAAGTTCGAGCTTTTCTTAGAAGAAAACAGACCACGCTGGTCTTCAGATATACAAGTATAGCTACCACAGAAAGAAACAATTAGGGTCAAAGAGCAAATGTGAAGATCAAGCCGTTGCATAACTGGTATCCCCTCCTCAGCTGTGGGTTGTCCTACAAGCTAACACCTGCTTTTAAGGCATTCATAAAATACTCCCAAAGGAAAAGTGCTTTGAAAAATGTAGGGTAGAATTCACAGATGAAATTCACAATATATCTGGTATGTGCTTTATGACTTTTAATATTTTTAAAGTTTATTAGGAGCACTGCCAAATAGTCTTTAAAATGCTTAAATCAAACCAAAAGTCGGGTTGAACTCCCCTTGTTTTCATGTTAATATTGAATCCCACAGTCCCGGCTAAAGATAAAGCCATGGACTCTGGTTCACCTCTGGAGTTAACCATAGGTGACCTGACATACAGTCACATGGAGAGGCACTGGCTGACCCTACCAGGGGTGGGTCACACTCCTGGACTGGTTAGGAGAGAGTTGCAAGCACAGGTGACAAGGCAAGAGCCACCATGGTAAGGCCCTGCCAGCCCTCATTCCCTTTGCCTTCTGGCCTGGGCACTGCCTCAGTACCCTCCTGCACTCACTCTCTTTGCCCTCTTCTACCCTTTCCACCTTCCCCCACTCCTTCCCTCTCCTCACTCACTCCCTTCCCTCTCCTCCCCACCCCCCCCCCCC